TTATTAACGCGCTTTATCATGCGTTCATATCCTTCCACATGAATTAAAATATTTTTATAAATAACTCTATGAAACAAGTTAACTTGTTGATGTATCTGTTCCATTAACAAGTTTTCTACAGCAACTTTTTGAGTTAATGTTAGTGTTATATGATCAGGCTTGCCAAATAATCTTACGTGGTCGCCATACGCTGTGCAGTAACTAGATGACAACTTCTTAAAAGTGAATGCTTCGTATAAAAATTTGGCATATAACGTATTATTGTTTGATGAGAAAACATCTGCACCCTTTTCTTTGATAGATTGAAATCTTAAATAAAATTTACAAATTTGCTGGGGTACTGCCTGAGAATTTCGAAACATCTTGGCTAATATGCCATTATAATGTTCATATGAAAAGCAAGATACAGCCCACAAACCTCCAAATTCTTTCACACTTTTAGGAATGTGGAGAAGTAAATGAACGTTAAATTTCATAAGCTGAGGTGCATTGTATATATCTTCCATGTTTAAAACAAACTGTTTAATGCATTTTTCTGCAATAGAGAAATTCTCTCGTGAAATTTTCTCAAGCAGGAAAATGTGCATACTACAAACAAGGAGTAACCAATGATCAACATATTTTTTTGGCATTCCTACGGATTGTAAACATGGCAAAGAGTAATACAATAAAAAGTTTTTCCATTCAGAAGCCTTCCATAATTTATACTCTGTAATAGATCGTGGGGTTCTAGTAATTTCACTTGGTGGCTTTATAGAACAAAGTATAGCATCTATTTCCTTTAATTTGTTTGATCCAATGTAAAAAGATTCCTTCTTGTTTATTCCATCTGTCCACCACACTACCATAGTTTTTACAACACCAAGTAAAACACAGTGCATATAATCAGGTACAAAAGATGTTATTATATTAAATAAAGGAAGCAAAAGAAGAATAGATGCACCTTTAATTCCATTTTTAACCTTCCCTGTTTGCATAACAATTTTAGTATCCTGTACATGTTGTTCGTGAGTTCGCAAATGCTCTATATCACCACGATAAATTCTTGCTTTTCCACGACCAACTTCACACTCCTCTCCCTCATTTAGACAGAAAGAACATCCTTGTTTACCTCGAAAAGTTTTTAAATTCTGGAGTAATGGTCTTGCTTGAGAATCAACTGAGGCTATTAGGGTGTGAATTTTTATTTTAGCTTTGACTTCAGAGCCAGGAATAACATACTCTAATCCTTCATTATGCAGCATAGTTAATTCCTCAACAAATGGTTTCAAAAATGTATTCATTTCAGGTTTAGATGAACCATACCATAATCCGCAAAGCAAAATATTTTCTTTACGAATTTTAAAAGGTAAATTATTTATAGCTACCTGTATGGGCCATAAACATACTTTAGATGACTTAAAAATTTGTACCCCATCAGTGTTCCACTGTAATGTGAGATCGTTTATTGAAATAACATCATCATGTACTAATTTTTTGTATATTCTGCCACAATGAATATCACTTTGACTATTTGTAAATCCCTCTTGAATCATAGAATGTACACGATTATCTTGAAGCAATCGAACCAATTGATCTTGTAATGGAATATAAATGAAAAAACATTGCTGCCGCTTTAAATCACTCATTACACACTCCAATCCACAACTACAAGTTATCTGACTTACTCCTAAGAAATTAATTATATTTTTGCAACCAGAACAAAAAAAATGTGTTATTATATTAGGTGGCTGAGGAAATTTTTTCTTAAGTAAATGTAATGACTTATGTTCTTGTCTTGGAAGGTGACAATCTATTAAATCTATGAGAGATTGAAGAGCAATATCAGAGAGTCCAAAACGCATAGCATAACTCATAATTAACAACTCACTCTCTTCCTTCGTAATATCACACCCTTCATACAGCACTTTCCTGTCTAAATTAATATGCTCAAAATTTTCTCCTTGAATTTTGTCTCCACTTATGTCTACAAAATCTGTGAACACATTGTCATTATCATTCTCAGAAGTGTTATTATTATCATTATCCTCTGAATCAGTGTCACTGAATAAGTCATAATTAATTCCAATAGTTCCTTTCTCGCTGTTTTCTTCACAATTGTCATGATCTCTTTTTTCCATTGTAGAACATAATCCTTCTTCATATTGTTCAAGGCTCTGTTGGTCAAACTCTTCTTCGTTGTTTGAAGAGCAATCCGAATTTTCTCTGCTATCAAAATATCCATTAATAGGATCCCAGTCCATGGATTCATCATCAATTCTCTGAGAATTATCATTTTCTAATAATGCATGCTAAAAAATTTCTTTAATGCAAATTAAGAATTAGGAGACAACGTATATAATTAATAGCATAGTATAATAATAAACATTCTCATAATATTTTATAATATTTGTACGATTTTGTTATATTTAAAATTAAAAAATTTTTTAGAAAAAAATATTTTCAACCTTTTAGATTTTATAAGTTTTTTATATATCTTTGAAAATCTTATAAATGTTTCAGAATTATATATATGAATTATATATACATAT